GCAAAGATATAATATTTGCAGGAGGTCTTCGAATCCCATAAAATGATCTAAATAATGTATACAAACAAACTAAGAAAACGTAATATTGTTCTTTTCTTCAACAAAAATAATCAGGTTATTAGCAGTTATCATATTACACAACATATTGATTCCATAAATGCACAAAGTCCAGTACACTGGACAACCACAAAATACGAATATTTTTCGTAAAATAAAAGCGATCGGCAAATAAAAATAACTTATAATCCTTATATAAACCCTCTACTATGTATAGGAATATTTTTTATCATATCTCCATACTTATTATTGCCTTGATAAACGTTCAAATTCAAAAAACTCACCTCGTACTGATGGTCGCTCTTGACGCCATCTTGAATGCCACCGAATAAAAGATGACTCAGCATGTTATGGTTCCACTCAAGCGTGACATCCCCACGCGTGTATAAAAAACACGAATCGCGAAATTCCGCATTTCTAAGTTGCGCAACACATCAAAACGAGATGTCCAGTGTACTGGACGTCGTGCACTAAAGGGTTACAAACAAAATCATAACATATCGTTATAGTCTAGCGCGCGTGTTTTATACGGACAGCTAAATTCCAGGATAAATTGTTATTTTTCAAACTTTAAAAGTTATTCACGGCACATATTTCTGTTGTAATTGTTTGTATAATGCTTTAGTTTGTATATCTAAGTTATCTAGCTCATTTTTGTTCCGTTTTGCCTTTGGTATTAAATACGATTTAAAATGTTTTTTGCCAGTTTGTTTACGTTTGCTATTTTTAGCAGTTTTTGTGACATAAAACTGACATTTGAAGTAAGAGTATTTTTGAGGGAGGTCGCGTAATTTTGAAAATGGGTGTAAACGTTACCCAAACCCTAACTGTACACCTAACTACCATGGCCAACGCGAGGTCTAAGTTTAAATTTGGAACAATTTCATCGTTCATCCACTTTAATTAGTCATTGCTATAAATTCCCGTCGTCCTTCTTTACTTTCTTTTGAATTTCACCAGTCTAACTTGCACTTTATTCAGATTCTACAATCCGGTTGAAATTGGTGCATAATCGTAGCCGTACGTCACACCTGCTATTACCTTTAGGAACCGTGAATGGTTTACTCCAGTATGACCAAATAAGATTCTTAAATAAGAGAATATACATTAGTTATATTCTTCAGTCTCTTCCTAACAAGCACAATTAGTCGATTCGTTCTACATGGAAAGTCCTGAAGGGGAGGTCTATAACCCATTTCCCTGCACCCACTAATTTTCTAAATCCCCTTTCCCAGCGCTACCACTATCTTAACCAAATCCCAGTTTCAACTGTAAACTAAAAACAATATCGCTGAGCAGGTGTTTCACAGGGCGAAGGACCTTCGTCTGGAGTTACTAGTTTCGAAACGTCGAAACTTATATTGTTCAGGTAGGGCCCAACGAAAGCTTGTTATTATTGGCACTATCTACACTGGCACAGACAGTTCATGTTTGAATTTTATCCGGCCGAGTAAGAATCTTCTTCTTGAGCCACAGGCAAATAACGAAGGTGCTTTGTAACTTACCCCAGACTCATCAGTGTTCAATTGTGCAGTTCTATATGTTGTACCCGATGCCAAAGCATAAACCTCAATAGCTCTCTTCCTTCGCCTATTGTCTTTGGACTCTCGAAGCGATATTTCTATGGTATCGTTTTTGAATTCGGTGATATTAAACTCTTTAACTTTAAAGGCTACATTATCTTCTGCCTCAGAGGGAACTGACATTTTTAGTTGAACAATTTCTGGCGCGGGAGGTTCACTAGACTCCGATTTTAGTAACACAAGAGTGACATTCCTAAGAAAAGAAAGTGTTTGTCTAAAAAGCTGAACTGTATCTGGGCCTTGCAGGTATTGATATCGATCGCTTAGTATACACATGAAAGAATGCGCAAGTTGTTACAGATTTGTAAACAACTTGTAACAAGGTGTTTGTCAAGCCGATATCAGGATGTGTTCGCACTGTTTGTTCCTTAGTTGTTGTGACAAGTTTGGAACAAATTGTTGCTGAATTAAATTATCACCTTGTTATAATGTTGATGACGGTAACAGACGTGCTACACTGAGTTGTTCCAACAAAACTAATACAGGCTGTTCGTAACAAGCTCCCACAAGCTTGTTGTCATCAACTTATTAATAACTTGTAACGTGCAGACGATAGAATTATATGTCAGACAATGAAGAATTTGTGGCGAGTGTGTTGGCTCATTAACTTTGTTAAAAGATGAGGACAACTTGTTCCAGACTTGTCAATAACTAGGAACAAGGTTTGCGAACATATCATGTTGATCATGTTGACAAGCTGTGAGATTTTTAGTTTTTTACGTGTGGGGTATAGGAAGTGCATGTACTTTTCACCTCCTCGACAATGGTTTTATTTCTGAATTTGCAGCTGTCTCGGGTTATAATTTCACCTCCGTCGCATGTAGCAAGAGAGTCGCACTTGCACACTCTACCACATTACGTGTTCTTCAGGTACTCCTGTTCTAACTTTAGGGAGGACAGTTTATAAAACTGATAGAACAGTAGGATTCTGTTTCTAACTTCAGGGACCCTTAAGAAGAAAGGCACATTTATAGTTATAGTAATTAAAATTTCCATAAACAGAACAAATTAAATCGCTATCAAGGAAGAAACCAAAAGTAAAGGCAGACACTGTCCCACAACCGATATGGTAAATTCGTCTAAATTGCAAGACATTTCATACTTTATTTTTTGCTCTTTTCTTGGCTTTCTCAGTATTACCGTGTAACCGTCGTCCGTTTTTTCCGCGGATTTCAAGGGCGCTAAAGGAATGAAAAAACAACCGGCGTATCATTATCATATATATATATATATATATATATATATATATATATATATATATATATATATATATATATATATATATATATATATATATATATATATATATATATATATATATATATATATATATATATATATATATATATATAACTATATATATATATATAGTTATACTAGATATATATATATAGTTATACTATATATATATATATATATATATATATATATATATATATATATATATATATATATATATATATATATATATATATATATATATATATATATGCATGCATGCATGCATTGTAGTGAAGTATGGTGCATGGGCATGCAAGTGTGGTTAGAGCGCTGCCAAGTACTGCGGAGTTAAGTCTCGAGTATTGAACTCCGTGATTTTTCAGTGCATTTTTTAAGGATTCTTCAGTGGTGCAATTGGGGCAAAACTGCCAAAGGGCTCATTTTCCATGCCCAAATAGCATGCGATCGTCGAAGGTGTGAGCCGAGTACCACTGCCCTCCCAGGAAATTTTAAAAATTTGGGTCTCTGAAATAGCCATTTCCTGCATTCTGACATTTTTAAAAAATCTCAGCTTCTCAAAACAAAGTTTTAATGGTGGAATTTGTAATAAATTGCATGCTAAACATTAAAACGCAACATAATTTTAAGTATGCTCATAAACAAATTTTGTTTTTTTGTCGAAGGGCCCTGACTTTGGGGCGATAGGCCATTTTTTTCTTCAGTGGTGGGGCAAAGGAAAGGGCCCAGTGCGGCAAATACCCCACCGGTCCATGGCATTAAAAAATGCTTTGGAATATTTTCTTAGGTTGCATGGATGACTGAATTGCGCTTGAAGACCCATGCATGTATACCTAGAATTTTTTTTTGGTTCTCTGCATGCTGGATTTTGAGAGTTTTCTGTGCATCTCTCCGCTTAATTTCCTCCTGCATTGATAAATTACCAAAGGTAATACCTGAATGAGATAGCCAAGTTTCAGACGTTGTATTACTTCTTCCAGCCTCTGTCTCAATTTGTATTTCAAACGTATACCGTTTATCGAACTCAACAGCAACAGTGACAGATGTCATTTCCCTTGATATATTCAGCATTTTGCTGGACTCATTTAATGCACTGTAGTTTGCATAGTACTTGTGGATGGTTTGCTGGTCAGGTAAAGATGGTATAGACCAAGAGATGGTGTACATTTTAAGGCTGATAGATATAATATTTAAAATGTTTGGAGCTACAAAAAAGGTAAACATGGCATATATTATCCCATATAGTATATAGTATAAAATTCAAAAAAATTATTCAATTTAAATATAGATTTGCTACTGTTTGGTATAGAAACAGCATGTAGTGTATTTCCCTGCATTGTCAGACATTGTACAGTTTTGTGTGTATAGTACTTTAATGTTTTGTAGACTGTACTATACCGTAACATAATGCACTCAGATACCATAGTTCCTTGTTGACTACTTTTTTAATAAAAAATGGGTTTCTCATCTCAGTTAAATTGACTCGAAGCTGGGCCTGAGAGAAATCATTACCTGGAGGTTTTACGAACGTCGTACTAGAGTTGCTCCATTCTGTCGAGTAGTACTCGTTCTTTAGAAAACAACACACTAATTAATCAAGTTTTCTACGAAAAAAAATATTTCGTCCAAAATATTAACAAAAACGTTCTGTATTTACAGAATTTACCTGAGTGTCAAAAAACCTGAGGAACGCGATATAACTTGTATTCTGTTTCAGAGGTTGGTTGAAGTAATTTTGTTTTTCCGAATTATACTCCTTTCCATCACCGATCACAAACGTCAAAGGTAGAGCATCAGTTTTCAAATAAGCAGTGATGTATGGATCTTGTGTGTTGGCCTGGTAAGGTTTAAGATCGCTTGCTTTGAGGCTTTCGACTGGTTTTGGATTGTCAGATGCAATTTGTACGATGACCATCACTTCTCTTAATGACGAACACGTATATATGTTGACATGATCAAAGAAATTAAAGTAGTTCGCTTGGATTCGCGGAAATTATCACGAGGGGACGATGGGTTAACACATGCAGATGCGGCTAATGTGCTGCGCCTTACCGCTATGCTAATTAATAAGTATGCTATTGCAGGTTGAATTGATACAGAATTTACTGAGATTGCCGAGTAACTTCCATGTGCTTAAAAACTTATTATGTAAGTACAGTTTCGTTCATTATCTACTTTTCCTCCAGGTCCTCCTAACTTGATATTTAATAAATTCGTGTTGAGGCTGCATACAGGCTAGGTTTTAGTGATCGAGAATAGTGAGCTTGACGTTTTTGTCAACACGAATGTCACTCGAAAATTGGTATAACATTGCCTGCATTTTGCATCATGGCGCTTATGTAATGACGCAAAAAAAATCTTATGTTTTGGCATACAGTAGCTATGTGTCAGTGGCGTAACTACTATGAGCTCAGACCGGGAGAACCCGGGGGCCCCCAACCTTAAAGGGGGCCCCCAGGCTCAGGCTGTAGAGCAAATACATTGGCCAGGGCCTCCAATGTCGTTTTCTGACCATCAGAATTCTGTAAAATCTCTCCCCAAAGTCCGGGAAATGGCATTTCAGAGAGTCTAGATTAAAATATTTTCCGGAAAACTCGTGCATATACGGCGCTCAACTCGTGCATTCGGCATTTCTACTATGGGGGGAGGGCCTTCGAAAATTTTGAACCGGGGCCCCCCTGATATAACGTTACGCCACTGCTATGTGTTGAAGATTACGATAAACTGATACAAACACATGCAGTTTTTAATACATTGCCACCTCGGCAATCTGAGTTAGTGTTGATGGCCGTCGTAAGCCTCATGTTCGGTCGAAGTGGACAAGCACGCTCCACTCACTCAATGTATTCGTTATTAATCACTACATGATCATAATTATCAGGTGAACTTACTTGATATACGTCGGTGGTTTGGCTATGGTTACCTTTAGACTTGCATAAGATAACGCGACAAGATTTACAGGTTCTAAAAATATTAAAAATTTGTCAAGGAACGGAGTATATTCTAGATTTAGATACTGATTATACATGCGAACATATGCATCCTTCATGAAGCCAGTTAGCGCTAAGATAAGCATTACGTCAGTTAACTATTGATTTAGCGAAACGCAGGAAAAACTCCCAAAATGAAGGACTGAGGAAAACATGAAATGCACTGTCCAAAAGACCTTTCCAGTAATTACGTCACGACTAACACTGTTTTCAAATTAGGACCACCTTAAATGGAATAGATTTTAAGTTTTTTTCACGGGCCATGGTCAGAGAAGCAGAACATCCTTCTTCAACACATGCATGAAAAAGAATTTTGGATTTTAACTATTAAATGTGGAACTGAAAAGCTTAAACGCGAAAACGAAGCTGAGGGGCCAAGGGGGGCCATGGCCCCTCAGCCCCGTTTTCGTGTTTAAACTTATTTCCACATTTAATAGTCAAAATCCAAAATTATTTTTGATGCATAACGTATGCTGATGAAGGATGTTCTGCTTCTCTGACCATAGCCCATGAGAAACAAACTTGAAATCTATTACATTTAAGGTGGTCCTAAGTTGAAAACAATGTAGTTGTGATGTAATTACCGGAAAGGTCTATTAGTGAAAGTAGTCATTACATATGTAATCAAAAGGAAGCTCGATCTAAAGGGGAGGGGGAGAGTTTAGGGAGTGAATTTATTTAAGAAGGAGAGGGGGGGGGGCGCGAAATAAACGTTTAATAATATCTTCTGTCTTTACCTGCTTGTTTGGTCGTAAATGACGTAGTGACAGGAGTTCCTCTCTGTAAAGAACCATCTTCAGTATCTATTTTAACAGTATACTCAGTGTTTGGTTTGAGTGGAAGAATATTGAAAGCAGTTCCATACATTGCCCGAGATATATGCTTTCGAAACCTGTCGTTGAGAAAAAATCTAAAATATGTTATATAGCTGGAGTCCTCAGGTGCTGTAGGTATATCCCAGGTCATATGCGCAGAGTAATCCGATGGTGAAACATTGAGATTCTTTACAGGAGCTGGCACTTGGACTAAAATTAAAAAAACAAAAACAATGCAAAGCCAAAGATTAGCTAATGCCAAAAAAACGCCATGCAAATGGTTTTAATATTAAATTCAAGCGGTCTGTGCCAGCGTAGTGATAATAGTCCAGTCAAATCACTATAAGTACATGGTCCTGATCAAAGTAATTATCGCAATAGATTTCTTTTCAGTGGTAAAGTGTGTGAAAAGTTGTTCTGATTAAGAGATGTTTTTGTATGTTACGCGTAACACGCGCTCAAAACTAATGCGTATAATATAACACTTGAGGTTATGACTAAATTCAAAATTTTTATTTTTCGATACGTTTCTCAATCGGCAAACGAACTTAAAGAGTATGGTTAGTGCTTTATCTGTAAAATAATGCTAAAACGAAGAGATTTTAGATGACACGCCAAAGAGAAAATGATGTCTGAAGTTCGGTAAGTTTTGCTTATATGCCTGCAAATATGGCGCCAATTTTAAAGCATCATTGATAATTGCATTTTAATTGACAATTTTTAACTATTATTTTATGTTTCTCAACCGGCAGATGCATTTAAAAAGTTAGATAACTGTATAAACTAGAGAATAAAGCTTTAACAAAGTAATTTTGAGAAGAACGCCAAAAAGATTTTAGGTTTTGAACACTTTTCATTGCAAATACGTGACATTGAAAAAATTGCCTCTTACAGGTAAACTACGTGAAGCGTTCCTCTTTTGAGTTCCTAACTTGATTGCAATTTTCCTCATTACCTTAGCAAATTTGAAAAACTCCCTTGCAAATCCCTGGAGGGAATTTGCAATGTTCTTAGGAGCAAAATAAATTTTCCTCAGTTCCTGTTAGAAGTTCTTAACTTCCTGTTACAAGTTCCTAACTTCCTGTTCTGTTCTGTGCGTTGCAATTGGCTAACAAAAATAATCCACCAATGATAACGCTCAGAACAGAACAGGAAGTTAGGAAATTAAAACAGGAAGTTAGGAAAATTTGAAAGGAACTTTCTTTTGCGTTGGAATATTGCAACGGCCGACAGGAAAATTGCAAATTCCCTCAAGGGATTTGCGAAGAGTTTTTCAAATTTGCAAATCTAATTTTGAAAATTCCAAATGAGTTAGGAACACAAAAGAGGAACGCTTCACATAGTTTACCTGTAACATATTAAAAATCAAAAAAAAATTCCTTCGGTGGAACATGGTGAAAATCAAGTTTTTCTTACTTCTACCTACAGAAAACCATTGCGGACAAAATGTTGAAATTTTGAAATTATTTTTTTGCAAATATAACATGCGTCATTGGAAAGCTTAGAAAAAACTAAAATATAGATCATTAAACGGTTACCCTGCTTTTGCCTATCCAGCCGAAGTTATACAAGATTTAAAATGCCATAAACTTAGTAATTTGTATTTTGTGCAAATTTTGCGCTATTTTTTCAACTTTGAGCTAGAATAACGACAACTGACTGACCAGAAAATTGAATATAACGGTTTAGTTGATCTTTATATAGTTTTGTTTATAAGCTTTCCAATAATGTAGGTTACATTTGCCTAAAAATGATTTAAAAATTTGAACATTCTGTCCACAATGGTTTTCTATAGGTAGAAGAGACTGAAACTCGATTTTCACCATGCATGTTCCACCGAAGGATTTTTTGGGATTTTTAGTATGTTAATCAGGACACCTTCCCACACATTCTACCACTAAGAAAAATTCTATTGCAATTTCTTTGACTGCCGCTGGTCACAGATTGACTGCAGGACTATAACAACACCAGAAATCTGCAGATTGAGAGGGTTTCAACCACCTGAAAAATACAAGTATAGCACTTTGACGTTTCGAGCGAAAGCCCTTCGTCGGAAACTATATAATGTCGTTATCATCCTCGTCCCCAGGGCCTCTCGGCAAGAAAACTTGCAGTAGTTTCTAAAGCGCATTCTTTTGAATTGGTACACTTTAGCACCCGTAAGAATTTTCACAGTGAAGTATTAAGAAGAAACGAAGTATTTGTGTTAACATATGGTGATAGAATAATTTTGCCCAGCGAAAACTGCTCAACTTCTGCGAAATAGCAGTTCTCTGAGAAGCCAATCAGATCTCTTCCTTTAGTCGTCTATCCCAGAGCCTAATTTTCAACGAGTGACCGAGTGAAAATGGCTCTGGGGACGAGAATGTGTCGTTATGCACTAGTCAATTGAAACCCAGGCCACCCGACCCCCGGGATAGGGCGGGGAAATTAACATTTTGACACTGTTAAAATTTGGTGATTTCCCCGCTACCGGGAGAATATTGACTGTTAAAGTTACCGCTCCTATGGCCCCCGGCACTTTGCAAATTTTCATGACTTGGGAAATGGGAAATCGTTGAAGTGTAAAATGTTCACAACATGTGCAGGCAATTCTTCAAAGTAAATAGAGCTGTCAAATTACTACAATACGTTATAGCTAATTTGAATTTGAATAAGGTTTCAACTACTATAGTTCACGAAACAATTATAAATATTTAATCATGAATTAACATGCACCATTTCCTTCACTAAAATTTCTCCTATTAACCTCAATCCTTTATTAATAATACCGCGAATTATATAAAACCTGTAGTAATAATAGTAAGGCTTACCCTCTCCACAGAGTTCTATTCGAAGACAAAAGTGTTGGTTGTCAGTGGATTGTATCTTTATATATCTCACATTATAAATATTAAGGCTTGTTATCGATGCTTTGTAACCATACTTGTTTCCATTTATCTGAATAATAATAAGCATTTCAAAATCAATTTTATGCCTCTTGCGTGCATCATATGTGTATAGAGTACTTGTGTATAATTATAAGTTTCAAATCCCTGATCCTAAACTCAAGTTGTATGAAGTCGACTATTTTTTATTCAACCTTGTAATTATAGAAGTTCCGCTCGGGAAAGCAAATAAATGCGTTTTGAATAATATCATATTTTGTAATTATTATTTGAACCTGCCAAGCTAGGTAAGTGTCTTAAATTTAAGCCTGCATGGCCATTCTCTTAAAAATTCCATTTTCAAAGGAAGAAATTTAGTGACCCTCTTTCTAAGATATCTATTATTTCTATGATCCACACCCACACAACATACGTACCCCTCACATCCACCCCCCAGGAAGCTGTTCTTTATTTGTGCTGAGATAAAAAAGCGCGCTGCGATTAAAAAGAGGATTTGCGGTGAATCTTTCAGATTTAAGTTAATTGCTTATTACTCATGGCAGGCCTTTGGTCGTGCAAACGAGTACTAGTCTTAAAGATGAGCATGCAGCCTAATTTTTCCTTCGTTTTGGGTGTCACAAACAGGACTTTACCCTTTTGAACCCAAACTTTCGTTGTGGTTTACGTGAATAAGGTGATTTGCTTTGAATTTTACAACACATCGTAACTAAAGTTTTTTTATAGATCTTTTTGGGTATACTGACAATTGAACTCGTAAAATTATGACTTGAATGATGAAAATAACAATATATGACTTTATCGGCGACTGTTAAATAAAGGAATCTACATTTACCTGCATGGATATACACCCTTTTCATAAATGGCTGCCGATTAAAAATTCTTTTATATGTGCATATAAATTGACCCAACTAGCCTTGTACTCATGTTAAGATTTCAAAGGAATTTCTACCCAGAAACGAGGCTAGTTGGGCCAATTTATATGCACATAAAAGAATTTTTAATCGGCAGCCATTTATGAAAAGGGTACATACTCTGGCCGTAAACCAACGCTAATCTGTTTTAAAAATGAGTGTTTGTTCTGTTTAAGACAGGACTTATACAAATAGAAAAGACACTGTCACCCAAAAGATTTTATGAAATGAAATGGCTTCGGCAGTGACTTAACTCGGGTGTAATTCATGCATAAAAGTTCGGAGCTCTACACCTGCAGCAGGCTCAACTGCGACCGCTGAAATGATAGGATAAATAAATTGTATTTATATTTCACTTCTTTAACTTTCCCACGCATGCATGGATACGATGTTATCGTGCAAGAGGCAGTTTTACCTACGTTCCTTCTAGGAAAGAATGCCCAATATCGTTTTTTATATTACCGGTATTGCACTGCTACCATCCACCAATGTTTTATCATGACTGTATTTTAACGAATATGAGCCGCTCCACCTTACTTGTGAGACATCAGCCATAACTAAAACTTGTGTTATATGATATTGTTTCTGAAGATCAAGCATAAGATATGTAGTGCCAGGACCCCTCGGACACCAGCCACCTCTAATAATTCTTGCATGTTCATAATTATCATTTGGACCACCACTGCCAGAAAAAACGGAGTCTGGAAAAGTGTTTGTGTCTTGGAGTAGCGGTTTGTCACATATTTTGCCTACAGTAAAAATAGATACAGTAAATTAACGCCTATACATTGGCATCACGTTAGTAAAATTTAGTGAAATTTCTCCCACTCGTGCTGGCTAAACACAAAATGGCCATTTCTGTGCAAAATGCAAAACTTTCAATTTTTCACCACAAGTTCGCTACAAAATTCGACCCTGTGGTACTGGGAGATAATTTTCTGAATAATTATATGACGTTTTATATAATAAATTTATCAACAGTCACCTCTGGTTCATTTTCTTGCATAATACTATTTCTTGCACATGTAATCTGTACAATTATTTCTAGTTTTTAGTTTGTCACATTCATTATTCCGCTTGCATTTTCACAGAAAAAGCAAAACATCGAAGTTGCTACTTGCCGCTTTCATTTTGAGTTTTTGACAGCATTCGCAGGGCCGCCCAGAGGTTGGCGGGGGCCCGGGGCAAATTTTTTTTAGGGGGCCCTATCTAAAAAAATTTTTCCGGAAAAATTTTTCCGGATATTATTCTGGCGACCTCCCCCCCCCCGTCGCCAAAAAATTTTCGGTCAGTGTACCATTATAGGGGTAAAAAAAATTTTTCGGACGCAAAATTTGGCCGGACGAGTACGTTGCAAACGCTTTCGAGGGACTTTATCTCATTTTTTTAGGCCAAAATTCGGTACTTAGCCCAAGAAAACAGATATCTTGTCCTTTGCGCGGAAATATTTAACACACAAAAAAGGCGGGGCCCCTACAAAAATTTTTCAGGGGCCCCCAGCAACTCGGGGCCCGGGGCAAATTGCCCCCTTTGCCCCCCCCTCTGGGCGGCACTGAACATTCGGAATACTGCATGGTACCCTGGATTCCAGAGCCTTCGGTAAATAATAAATTGAAACGTCGTGAAGGCAGAGTTCAACGGGATGATGCTTTGATAGTAAACCGCACCAATCACAAACAGAATTAGTGGTTTAGTGGTTTTAGCACAGATTCGCTAGTTCGATTTGGGCCTATAGTTGCATTTTTTCCAACTGCTTCTGATCAGATCTACTAATTGAATAAAATTTACACTCGAATTATAACACTGGTTTTATTTGCTGTCAATAGTGCATTGTTTTTGGCACCCCAAATTGCGTCATTTCTCCTGGCGTGACGAAATATTCCCGCACAACTAGGCACATTGTGCTCAATTTAGAGAAACATACGACATTATAATTTAAATACTTGAAATTCTGTGCATAAGGCATTGCTCACCGAAATTTTGATCCTGCTACACTAAGCTTTATACACTTACATTGCACATATGGAATCGTTGTACTTGGAGGGGATTTAGAGGGTTGAAGATGGATACAACAGGATGTTCCACTTGGTTGTATAGTGTTATAACATATCAAGTCCCCAGTTGCAATATTTTGTCCACTCCCTAATTGTATGGTAACAATTTTATTATCAGCAGTCTCTTCAAATCCCAAGTGCTGACACAGCATTTTCTGACGGTTCTTATCCCAATTTTCTTCAACAACTCTCCTCCAAGTTGAATCAACATGTATTTCGATGAAACCTGTGTTTCGACGTGACAATTTGAATGCGCGCACTAAACAGGAATAAAAAATACCAAACCAAAAAGTAGTATAGATAATAGGATGGTTCCAAGTGCAATTTGGATAACGAATGAGTTTTTCAAAGAACATCATGAAAATAGCACGAGGGCGGTGCAAAGTTCTCGGAAACCATCCTATTACGTATTTTAATAATATGCATAAAAATGTTCGAGACAAGTGTTTATTCTTACGAGAAATAAAAACCCCGCGGACGGATTATTTGTTTTATTTTTATGCGGTTGCTCCATAAAAAAATCCATAAAATGAATCTACAGTAAAACCTCCGTAATTCGTATTACACGAAGTACGTGCAACACAGTGTATAGCGTTGCATCATTATGATGATATAACGCTATACAGCAAAAAATGCCTAGCCTGTAACAATGCTGATGCAAACAAGTTTGAAAAATATTTTGCTGCCATATTCTTCCTGGTTGTTAACAATATTGTTCAGGCCTGTTCAACAACATTGTTGCAGGCTGAGCGTTTTTTGCAGTATACGGCTAAAAACGATCGAGTTGTTGCAATGGTTGATGGAAACAGGATTGAACAATGTTTTGCTGCCCACATTGACATTGTTCACAGTTGTTAACAATATTGAACAATATTGTTACACCCAATTCAGGCTCAACAATATTGTTGACTAAATAAATTATTGTAATATTTTTTAAGTAGCTTTTTTATACATAGGAAAATTAAAGAATAACACAAAAAACCAAGTGTGAACAACGTGGGCAGCAGAACATTGTTCAATTCTGTTTTGATTATTGATTGCGCGTGCATAATGATTTAGAACATTTTGTAGAACAAAATTACGACAATTTTCTGTCGACTACTATCAAGGTCCAGTATTTTTTAACTCCTTGGACCAAAATATACGGAACGCCATATGTCTGTCTATTCTTTCCAATCGAATCTTAAAGTTGCTCTCGTGTGCCGCGGGAATGCAAATTATAGTCACTTTTGCCTTAGAGTAAATATTCTATTGTTGATGAGCACGGTCTCGTTGCTGTTGTATATTTTGCCAAACCAGTCTATATTAGCATGTACGCATAACACCGCGCGGTCAAACGTCCGCGCGTATTTTATTTTTGCATTCGAAAGACTGGAAACAATACCGTTTTCGCGAGGCACTGCTAGTACCGCGGTCAAACCACTGATCTGGGTAGAATCGAAAGCACATACCCGAATTTACGAAAATGGAGGCGAAAATGTCTGCCCAAATAGTAGGAGTAAATACGGGAAAAGAAAAGCGTTTACTATAAGAACAACTGAAGCTATAATGTAGGGAATTCGCGCCTTTCTCCATGTGTTAAGGCGAAGTTATATAGGTAATTTTCTTAAAACTTTTTGCAACGCATTACCGTTACGCTACCATTACCTTTTTCCAACGTTATAGCGGGGGAGCTGTAGTTATCCATACAAGTGTACTCGGTATAAATTTCTTTTGAAGTATCAGAACAATATTCTGATGGTAGTAAATTATTGTTCATGGTAAGTTCACAAGACCTATTTCCACCACAACGAGATTTCACCTGACAATTAGTTAGTGGATTGCATGTTGTATTAGTGTTTGCGGCGATATTAAACGTGCCACGACTTTTGAAATCTCCATAATCAGCTCTGTGGACAACCATATGTTGATCTGGAGAACAATGAACATTTTCCATTTTTGCGTTGTAATCTGTCACCGATCCTAAAAGTGGAGTAGGAATTTTACAAACAAAAACTAGTATTGTAATTGACATAAATATTATTATACAAACACAGTTAACCATAACGACGTTTATTTATGCATGTCAACACTTTTCTTCATCTTCCTCGCGGAAAAATCAAGTTGCAGAACACCCAAGATGTGGGGCTTCGGTGGTCAAGTGGTTGGCGCACTTGCCTTTCACCTCTGAGGCCGCAGGTTCAAGCCTCAGTGAGTACTTTCCATAGATATCTTATATACACTAGATAGCGCATCTCTTTTAGTAAAATTGAAGCCAAGAATATTCCAGCGGTTACCCCCATTTGAATAGGTGGCGGTCATGTTGGTCGTTCCCACTTGCTAATAAACGCTTAAAAACAACAATAACTTTCATCATTTGAATAGTTTAAAAACGTATTTGGAATAGGGTTAACTTAATGTTTAAGTTCCCTGTTTAAGAAATAGAAAACATACGAACTTCTTATTTCATGGGAACGACCTGAGACTGCAATCACGGCTTCAATTTTTAAAGTGCAGAATAATTAGATGCACTATCTAGTGTGTATAAGATATCTATGGTACTTTCCCTGAATGCGACTCGAACCCAGTCCTCATGTGAAAAGAGTAAAAGTCAACGCTCTGCCGAAAGTCGTGGGTTTTTCCCGGGTACTCCGGTTTTCTCCCACAGGGAAAGTTGCCATGCAGGTCGGGTCATAGGTAAAAGGGCCCAAGGTAATTGGCATATGCTGTTGTGGTGACCCTGCCCTACACAGTTGGTAAAGCTAAAATAAAAAATAGATCGTCCAAAAAATCGACTTTTTATTTTTACATTTGAAGAGCTTAAAAATTCCTCGTAAAAAAGAATTCCTCCCTCGTATATATACAAAAAATTTTTTTGATTTTTGAAAATATTTAAAATTGGATGAGTTAATAAGGATAATGCTTTTCGAATTTTATTCCCAGCAGAAGAGTTTGTTATTATTGACCTCGACTTCGCCCCGGAAAACATCGAGACTCTTGGGGAAACAAAACCAACTATTTCCCTCGGGAGCAGGCATGAAGTGTATTATTTGAAACTCGTATTTCTAGTATATTATTATACTGTATGCAACCCTGTGAAAACGATATTCACATAGCCAGCTATGGGTCTACATGTCAATAATCATGAAAATGAATTTGATTTCTGAGTCCTCAATGCCCAAATCTTTGGAAATGTTGTACAATTAATATATAGCCACAAAAGCTAATGCGTTAAATATTTGCCTTACCAAAAGTAAACTTTTGTTCTGTTGCGTTTTTGCATCCATCTTTTTTCTGATCAACATAAATGCCATTAGGCTGAGTACAAGAGTTCACTGTGCTGTCGTAAAGAAACAAAGATCCAGCATCTGTTTGTTTGAACCGATGCTCATTATTGTTTTCGAACTCTTTTCCTTTCTGGTTTTTGCCGTCATATATGTATAAACGATTAAGGAAAGTGCTATTCCCATATTTAGACACTAACGACCCTCCGGTCTTGAAATTGTGTAACAGATTGGTATCGAGATAACGGAATCGAGCACGATAGTGCACGCAGTTGTCATCCATTTCAGCCCAATAACGTCGAGCATATTGATCTTCCACAATGGGACTTCCTTCTGCAATGCACTTCCCTGACTGAGTATGTCTGAGAAAAAAACTGTGAAAACCTGCAAACAGAAAATAATATTCAGTACGTACCTCTGCATAGAATACTTTTCCAAAATTCTAACAACAAACTAAATCCAGAATATGTGGCATTTTTTACCTACTTTTGGCTACAAGTTTCCCGACTATACAAGTTTCCCAACACAATGTCGTCCTCTGATGGCTTAGTGGTAGGTCGTTTGGCCTGTCGCGATAAACGTTTGGGGCTTCGGTGGCGAAGTAGTGAGCGCACTTGCCTTTCACCTCTAAGGCCGCAGGTTCAAATCTCGAACCCAGTCCTCATGTGAAAAGAGTAAGTCAACGCTCTGCCGAAAGTCGTGGGTTTTCTCTGGGTACTCCGTGTTTCCTCCCACTGCAGGGAAAGTTGACAGGGTGGGTTAGGCACATATAAGGTCTGGAAGCAGATCATTAATGAGGTATGGACAAATAGCGGCTGCTCAAGCGCCATTTGTAAGCTCAAAGCCTACCTCGGTCTGCTTCACGTCAGTCCGGTTTTATCTATCTATTCATAATGTAACCAGTCACTGAAAAGCCCTGATATATAGAGAGTGTGCTGTGAAATATCTATCTATCTATCTATCTATCTATCTATCTATCTATCTATCTATCTATCTATCTATCTATCTATCTATCTATCTATCTATCTATCTATCTATCTATCTATCTATCTATCTATCTATCTGTCTATCTATCTATCTATCTATCTATCTATCTATCTATCTATCTATCTATCTATCTATCTATCTATCTATCTATCTATCTATCTATCTATCTATCTATCTATCTATCTATCTATCTATCTATCTATTTATCTATCTATCTATCTATCTATCTATCTATCCTTTGGGGGAACAAGAAGCACTGATAAAGTAAACTGTAGAGGTCGCAGACTCAGCAAAACAATGGGAGAATTTGACCTCATTTCCGTGAATTCTCAGGTCGGATGTACAGGGCCAATTGAAACCTTCTATAGTAATGGCGGATTGGTGCGAACCACCACTGACCATATTCTTGTTCCAAGAAATTATGCTTCTTTTATCTTGCATAGTGCTGTCATTCCCGACTGCTGTAAGAATATGTCTTACCATCTTCCGATTTCTTGTTCGATTAATGTAGACTTGGTCACTAAAGTTCCAAATTTATCAATGAAGCAACTTTGCTGGAAAAACGTAAAATACGGCAATGTTTTGCAGAAGTACCAAAATGCGCTTGGCACTGCCTTACAGAATGATCCTGTATTTTCGTCAGAGGCGATTACTCCAAATGCTATCGAACAGTTAGTTGATCAAACCGTTAGTCACTTGAAAATTACTGCAGATAAGACTATTCCAACTAGAGTATTTAAGCCTGTGAGAAAACGCTACTGGAATCCGACACTTACGTCTCTAAATCGAGAAGTTAAAACATGTTGGAGAAAATGGCTTTATGAAGGCAAACCTAGAGATAATAACAATCAGTTCTTTAAAGACTACAAAAAAGCTAAATATAATTTCCGCAAGGCTCAACGCCAAGCCATTCATGAGAATGAGGTAAACGGCTTTGTGAAATTGGAGAGACAACATGACATTGAAAGAAGCAAATTCTACAACAGGATTTCTAAATTGAAGAAACCAAAACGGGTAAATAACGGAGAAGTCTTAGAAATTGATGGTAATCGTGTAAGCAACGATTCTGAGGTGCTTGATGTGTGGCGGCAGCACTACTGTAATTTATATACTCCAAAAGACAATCCAAACTTTGACAATGACTTTAAGAAATTTGTTGAAAACAAACTTGTGCAATTTCATACGGATAGTTACGGAAATGATGACCCTCTAGATAATCCGTTTCAATTTGATGAGGTTGCTGACGTATGTAGCAAGCTCCCAAATGGGAAGGCAAGTGGTCCCGACCAACTCTCGTATGAACATGTCAAATTTGGAGGAAATTTACTTTTTGAAGTTTTAACAAAGATTTTTAATGCTGTTAGAGAATTGGAGTATGTTACGGGTGCATGGAGTATTGGCAACATTTTTTCCCTATTTAAAGGTGGAAAAAAGAACAGATTCAATAAAGAAAACTATAGAGGTATAACTTTGTTAAATATAGTAGGCAAAATATTTGAACGGTTAATACTAAATCGATGGATTCCTAAATTTGAAACTATGGGTATTCCAAATAATTACCAATTTGCTTATCAAGCGGACAAAAGTTGCACCTTGGCAAGTTTTGTGTTGCAAGATACGATCAATCATAACGTCGAGAGAGGAAGTAAAGTTTACTGCTGTTTCTTGGATTCAAGTAAGGCATTCGATTCCGTATGGTTGGACGGTTTGTTCTATAAACTCTTCCTACTGGGTATGAATGGTAAATCCTGGAGAATCTTAAGGAACTGGTATAGTAAAATGCACTGTTATGTTTCCTTAAATGGGCAAATGTCGTCTGTGTTCCCAGTATTGCAAGGTGTAAGGCAAGGTGGCGTTCTTTCTCCGTGGCTGTTTCTATGTTATAATAATGATATTCCAGATGTACTCCAATCAGCGGACTATGGACTAAATGTGCAAGATATCAATTGCAGTTCAGTCTTAGTTGCAGACGACGTTACTTTAATATCTCTTAGAATTAAAGGTCTTCAAAGCCTACTTGATAAAATGGAAATGTACAGTTATCAATGGAGATTCGAGTTTAATCCCAGCAAAACGACAATTGTAACCTTCGGAGAGACTACACAAATGCATTTGCTCAAAAAGCCGTTAAGAAGTTGGTATATTAATGGTGTTAAAATACCTGAAAAACCTTCATGGGAACATGTTGGTATAATGCTGAGCGGCAATTTTTCAAATTACGAGAGATCAAAAATTGCTGCAAGTAAAGGAAAACAGGCTGCTGGTATGCTAATGAACGCTGGAGTACGACCAGGTGGTATAAATCCGATTTGCGGTATGAACTCGTGGAAAACATTTGGTTTACCTTCAATGTTGTATGGCTCTGAGGTTTGGTCAGCGCAAACAAACACTGAGTTGGATCTGCTTGACCGAGCTGGAGCGTTTGCAGCTAAAAGGCTACAAGGTCTTGCACCAACAACAGCTTCAGCAGGTGCCTTGGGAACAGTTGGCCTGTGGTCGATTACTGGGTTTATTGATAAGAAGAAACTTTTATTCTTAGGAACTTTATGTCGCTCATCGCCGTCGCAACTGCACAAGAAAATCTTTGTTTATAGACTGTTTTCATTTATTTATTATAATGAACTTTCTTCAGTCGGATACGTCGCAGATATTGTTGAAGTGTTAAGGAAATATGAATTATATCACTATCTGGAAGATTACATTAAGACAGGTGTGTTTCCAAATAAATGGTTGTGGAGGAACTATGTTGTTAAAGCCATCGATGAACATGAAACAGAATGCTGGAAAGACAAAATGCAGTGCAAGCCAAACTTGAAACACCTGCGCGAAAACCACCAAAAATTGCAGCCTATTGTGCACTGGGAAGTTGCTATGTGCTACCCCAAGGATCGGGAAATACTTTCTAATTTAGTAAATGTACTGGTTGGAAATGTACCATCAATAGTTATGAAGGCTGTGGAAGAACACGAAACGCACTACACATGTAGGCTTTGTGACAAACAATTGTATGATGTTCCATATCATTTTATTATGGATTGCCAAAGAACATCCCAAGAACGCGATAAATTATGGGACAACCTAACAGATCAGCTTTCCATTCAACAAATTTGCTACTTGCACAATCTTTGTGAGGAGGACGTGTATTCCACTCTTTTAAGTGGCAATCATCCAATGTTCAGAAATGACAAAGAGGAACTTTATCTCTTTCTAATTATTTCCGCCAGAGGAATTATGAATATATTTCTGAAAATTAACAACCTTTTAGATTAAAGTGTAAGTGCTGGTTAAAGCACTGTTATAAGTATATATAGTATTTGTGCATGTGTAATAATATTTTAGTGTTAAAATTATATATAGTTAAATAATTTTATTAGATTTTTATAGGACAAACTAACTGTACTTTTTTATGAAAGTGTAAGTAGTAAACTTACAGGCTCTTCTGAATTGGAGAAAAAAATCTATCTATCTATCTATCTATCTATCTATCTATCTATCTGGCGACAACATGGCGGACAGTCGTCTATTTTCAAGCTCTGTTTGTGAGGATATTGTAAACACTGGCATTCAATCAATAAGCGTTAAATATCCCATTAATATTGAGAAGACACGTTCTGGTCAAAAATTAAAGTGGTTAGGAAGTTTGGAAGAGTTCAAATCATTCATTACAGCCGAATTAAAATTGGCTGGTGAGTGGTCATTTGTAAACATCAATGGCGGCTTTTACGTTTTAAAATGTGAAGCTGTAACTATCTCCTTTTATCCGACCACAAAAACAGTTAACGTGCAAGGTGTGATGAAAGATGTTGTCAAAAAGAATTTATCGGACTTATATTTACTGAGTCAATATTCAGCAGAAAGTAATATTTCTGTGCAAGATCAACAACAAATTAATGTCGAAGACGAAGTTGATAGCGTGGGTGAAACCGAATGCGAAGGTCGAGTGAATTCCGTTTGCTCTATTGATGATAAAGGAAGCTGTGATCTCGGTTCTGTTGATGATGCGGCAGCAAATGCCGATTCTCAATTGGGTTATGATAAAACCTCGCAATTCAACCACACTTGTCATGATTGTCGACAAAATAAATTGGTTATTGAATCGTTACTTCACAGGTTAGAGATTCTAGAGAACAAAGTAAACTCAAGATCTCAAGAAATCTCTTACGATAATCTACTCTCCAGCTACAAAATTATGAAGGAGGAGCGAGACAGTCTATTGACAACTTTAAGGTTGTTGATGAAAGACTTCAAGTCATCTGAAGAAAATCATACTAATTTTAATGAAGCTAGTAAACCGAAACAAAATGGCGGATCATCTACCGAAGGCGAAGCGTTAAACGGCAAAACTAAAATTGCATCTCGTAAAAGGAATTTGAGTACTAAATCTCCATCACCATCACATACGAACACATCAGAAGGCAACAACGGCGTAAGAAGTGATCGCGAAGTCGAGAAAGGAATTAAAGCTCACTCAGTACATACATCTGGTACAGACAGAACAGGAGGTGATGTTTTTGTTGTGGGAGACTCCATGATCAAATATGTACAAGGAAGGAGGCTGTCAAAAAAGCATAAGGTAACCACTATAACCTGTCCTGGTGCCACGGTGGCTGACATGGGTGATTTTGTTAAACCTGTCATTAGAAAAAAGCCCCAAAAAATTATTATTCATGTTGGCACCAACAACCTCCGACATGACAAACCAAAACAGTTAAGCAGAAAGATTGTTGATTTAGCATATAATATTAAGAAGGAGCAGCCTACAGTAGATATAGCCATTTCATCTATAATTCATAGATCTGATAATATATCGCTAAACTCCAAGATCAATCAAGTGAATGATAGCTTAAAACATCAATGTTCTAATTATAACTTTGATTTTATTTGTAATGACAATTTAAAGGAGAACATGCTAAATGCAGGAGGCCTTCATTTAAATCTGAATGGAACAATCACTTTAGCTGCTAATTTTAGAAAATTTATAAATACTGATTGAGATCTAGCTGGCACAGATACTGAAAAGAGCCATGATGAATCCTCACAATCGTACAATCAGTCATTTGACGAAATTATGTCTAGTTGTAGAGGCTTCAAAATGGCATCACTAAATATAAACAGTCTAAACAAACACATTGACGAGTTGAAGGTATTAATGATGCACAAACCCATTGATGTGTTTGCAATTAATGAATCCAAATTAGACCAGGATGATGCTAACGATCTTATTGCATTAACTGGCTATATAGTAGAACGAAGAGATCGTAATAAACATGGTGGAGGGGTCTGCGTTTATATTCGTAACTCAATAAACTACAAAAGGCGCTTTGAGTTAGAAGATCAAAATTTGGAAATTATTGTAATTGAGGTTATAAAGCCTTATTCTCAACCTTTTCTTATTATAGCGTGGTACAGACCACCGAAAAGTCCTTTACAATGTTTTGAGCAATTTGAGAATCTTTACAAAACAATTGATAGTAAATACAAAGAAATTTACATTTTAGGTGACCTGAATTGTAATTATCTATTAAATCCCCCTGAGTGTCATACACAACACCTTAATAATTTATTAGTTAACTACCAACTGAATCAAATTATTGTTGACCCAACCAGAGTAAATAGCACTTCGCAAACATTGATTGATTTAATAATTACTAACAAATCTGATTCTATTATCAATTCGGGAGTTTACCCTCTGTCAATAAGTGACCATTATTTAATTTACGCAGTACGGAAAATCGGCATACGTAATGGTAAACCACGATATATTGAATGTCGAAACTTTAAAAACTTTAGTGAATCTAAGTTCAAAAAGGACCTAAAATCTACTCATTGGCCTATAATTAATGAGTTTGATGATGTCAATGATGCATGCGATACATGGAGATCTGTTTTTAGTGAAGTGATTGAAAAACACGCGCCTGTACGTAGTTTCAGAGTTCGTAATAAACCTAGTCCTTGGCTTAATTCAGAACTCAAATATTTAATGATAAATAGAGATAAACTGAAGAAAAAGGCTATTTCATCCAATAATTCTGAATCTTTGTCTGCTTATAAGCAGCAAAGAAATTTTGTAAATAATAAGATCAGAAAAGCGAAAAAGGCATATTTTCAAGACGAACTCAACAGAAATGTAAATAATGTTAAAGAAACATGGAAAATTTTAAATAATGCGTTGGGAAAGAAATCGGATAACATCGAAATAAACACGCTGTCATCTGACTCAGGAGAAATCTTAACCGAGTCATTTGACATTGCAAATTCGCTTAATAAACATTTCGTTGGAATTGGTCCGAAATTGGCCTCCAATGTTCCCCTTTTAGGCAAGGTTGCAACAGCTAAGGATTACATGACCCAGGTTGAATCATCATTTGAATTTCAAAAGATAGATTCTAAAGACGTCTTTAAATTAATAAACAAATTAAATTTGCGTAAAGCTTCGGGCTGTGATAAAATATCAAATAGATTATTAAAAATATCTGGTCCTTATATTTATGAAGCTTTAACAAATTTGTTCAATCTTTCTCTTACAACAAATAAATTTCCGACAAGGTGGAAAATTGCAAAAGTCTTTCCATTACATAAAACAGAGGAAAGGGATAATGCAAATAATTATAGGCCTATTTCGGTGTTATCTTCAATTGCACGTCTCTTTGAGCGCCTTGTGTATAACCAAATGTATGCTTATTTATCTAAACATAGACTAATCAATACCCGTCAATCTGGATTCCGTTCACTTCACTCTACCATGACAGCCTTACTGGATATGACAAATCAATGGTGTTTTAATATTGATTAAGGGATGTTAAACGGTGTGATTTTTCTCGATCTAAAGAAGGCTTTTGACACCATTGATCATGAAATTTGCAAATGAAACTTGCATGTTATGGTTTGAAAGAGTGTAGTTTGGAATGGGTTGAATCCTACTTGACAAATAGGGTACAAGTTTGTCATGTAAATGGCATATATTCAAATGAAGAAACCATTTCCTGCGGGGTTCCACAAGGTTCTATTTTGGGTCCGGTCTTATTTTTGCTATATATAAATGACCTACCCAGTTGTTTGGAACATGGAATTGCCAGGCTATTTGCTGACGATACAAATATGACTTCCACAGGTTGCAATTTGGAATCGGTCGAAAATAAAATGCAGATTGAGCTTAATAAAATATTCAAGTGGCTTTGTGCAAACAAGTTGACACTGAATATTTTAAAAACCGATTTCATGGTTATTGCTTCTCGACAAAAGCTAGCGGCCTTGGGAGACTCAATAACATTGTCAGTAAACGGTGTTTCATTAAGCCAAGTTCGTTCGGTGAAATCCTTAGGAGTAAACATAGATGAAAACTTAACTTGGGAAAACCATGTGGAGAGTATTCGCTTAAAAGTATCCCGTAATATTGCTACTTTGAGGCGATTAAAGCCCATTTTAACACAAAAAAACCTAGTATCACTCTATCGGGCGATAATTGAACCATATTTCATTTATTGCTCCATAGTTTGGGACAGCCTTGGTCAAACATTAGACAAGTCTCTACAAATTTTACAAAATAGGGCTGCCCGTGTGATAACTGGGGCACATTTCTCAACATCATCCTCAAAACTCTTAAAAGAACTTGGCTGGATGAATATTCAGGAAATGAGGTATAAACAAAAGGCTATGATGATGTATAGAATAGTAAATGGTAATGCACCATCTTATTTAATAGACATAATTAAACATTGTCATGCTTTGGATATATATAATCTCAGAAGGTCTAAAATAGCCTTCGAACTTCCAAAAAATCGAACACTGTATTACAATTCAAGTTTTGCCTTCACTGGTGCTAAATTATGGAATTCTCTTCCGGATGAGATAAAAGACGCACCATCACTTAAAATATTTGTAAAAATGTTAGACTCGACTATATTCTGTGCCAACTAGAATATATTTTCTGTATATAGTTTTATATTGAAATATTAAGATACACGGCTTTTAGGAAGAACAAATGTAAATATGTCATGTCTACAATTGATAAAACCACCGTGGTTAAATAAAAATTTCAATCAATCAATCAATCAATCAATCAATCTATCTATCTGTCTACCTATCTATCATGTAGTATAAACCTACTAGTAGCTAGGCTATCATGTATCGTGCGTTCTGATTGGCTACGCTAATAGTAGGCTATTAGTGATAGCCTACTAGTAGCAACAAGCGGCGAAGGGCGCGAGAATCAATGGCCGTTTTTAAGTATTAAAAGCTGCATTTAAAGGGAAAAGCTTATCAAAATGGCCCAATTTTGGTTCTGGATTACACACAAACAAAGACTCTTGGAAACTGCTGACACATGCGGTAAATTTTTTTTCTCAACTTTGCTCGTAGTTTTGAACATGAAAGTGACAGGTGATTTTATAAAATATATGCACAATGTTTGTTAATATTCCAAGCAGAATCGTTGAAATTCGACAATAATTTGTAGCTATTTACCCCTATTTTCTCAACCTCTTTAGTGTGTGCTTGTTAAGTACGAGTTCATGTATTTAGCTGTCATTTTAATTGAAGAGTTTTTTTCGTTTAAATGTTGAGATTTTGGCCGAGTTTGTTTTTCGCCTTTTCGAGCCTTTTTGAGTCGAGTTTTTCGATTAAATTTTAATCTAAACTATTTTCTATGTATACTAGATTATGGAAATGGTTTCCCCCTCTATGTTCCAGAAATATTAAAGATTTCAACGACATTCGGATAATCGGATTCTTTTGCATGTGTGTGCATTTTTATTCGGCTTTTTAACGTAAACTTTATTTACTAATTCATTAAATTTTATTTACTAGAAACAATTCGGGAAGCCATTTTGTGTTCGAAATTTTGAACTTTTTAAGCCTTGTTTCTTTCTTTTAAATAAGTTTGTAATTAACCAAACTTTGCTTCTATAACGATCTCGTACTATTATACTGTTTTACGACATGTTTTTTAACTTTTTTAAAACTCACAAGTTGTATTTTTCAAGTCATTCTTGAGAGTTTGCAACACTGAGTAGTTGTCAACAAAGCCGAGGCGAAATGTCGCCAAAGGAAGCCATTTAAACGCTTATTTCGTTAAAACGTTATTATTTGACATAAAAATCAAGTGAAAAATTCCGTTTCCTTTAATTATGAATTATGTGGTTTATACTAAAACAATTAGACAACTCAGCCTCGTTGTCTATGAGCGAATGGTCAACGAGGCGAAGCCGAGTTGATTATTCGTTCAGAGACAACAACCTCGGCTTCGTTGTCTAATTGTTAATTGCAATAGTAGATAGGGACGTCTATATACAATAGCCTCTGCCTCGCACATGAACGTTTGCAGTGAGCCTTTATTCAGAACGTTGCGCGCCGTTCTTATCTGCCGTTCCATATACAACCCATGTGGCTGCTGGAGGCACGTTGCTTAAAAAATCGAACCAGTCCCATTTTTTTCCAGTGGGAATGATCACACTTTCTCTTTATCCATCTGTTGCAAAGCTTCTTTCAATTTGCGTCGAGCAGCTACTAGGTTTGTACCCCGGTCCGACCTGAGCTGTTGAATGGGCCCGCGTCGAACCAGGAAACGACGCAGAGCGTTGATAAAGGAATCCGTCTCTAACGACTTCGCCGTCTCAAGATGAATCGCCCGCGATGATAGGCAAGTAAACAATACGCCGTACCGCTTGAGCTCTTTCCAACCCTCTTTAATATGCCACGGGCCGAAGTAATCAACGGCGCAGAAGGTGAACGCTGGCGCAGGTTGCAAACAATCGTAGGGAAGTTCGGCCATTTTCAGCTCTGATACGGTACCACGAAGCTTCCGACACGAGACACATTCGGTGATATGATGGGCCACTGCAGAACTTGAACCAATGACTCAAAACCCGTCCTCGCGAATCCTGTTGAGGGTGATTCCACAGCCTTGATGGTTGACTCGTTGATGGTAATGTTAGATTATGAGGGATGTAATGTGTCCTTTTCTCGGTAGGATTACGGGGTGTTTCACGTGAAAGGGGACATCGGCGCGTTTGATTCGTCCGCCAACTCTTACGAGTCCCTCCTTGTCGATAAATGGATCTAGTCGATATAATGCCCTGTTTCTATAATCGCCTTACGATCCTTGACGTCTTCTATCACTGCCCGAAAAATTGGATTTATCACTATAGGAAACACAGAGTAAACTTCAGATAATGCCGCATTTGCTCATATTTACGAGCGAATGCGGCATTATCTACAAGTTTACTCTGTGTTTCCTATAGTGGTAAATCTCTTCGCAGGGTTGTACTTCAAACGGCGTAGAAGTTTAATTTCATCTTTTCAGGAAACATTTCTCGTTGAACTGCCTAGCCTGCGTAGCAGGCGGTATTCGCGGGCACGAGAGAACGGGAAGCTAGAAATACCGCCTGCCCAAAAACTACACATTCTGAGTTCGCCGGCAGCTGACGGAGCATTCTGATCGGTCAGAATGTTGATTTTGAATTTTTGATTGACAGGAGTAAAGAATTAGAATAATTAGTGCTAATTTTAGAAGTTACTGTTGCCGTATTATAACTATTGTTATTTTCGTAATTGATACCGATATATCGAGTGATGGCATACACTAACGAAAAATTGACGAATGTATTAATTGAGAATTAAGCGTTGAATTCTTTAATCTTTATCTGGAACCGGTAATCCCATCGTCTTGAAGAATGAACAACGAATATCAATCCAATATTTTTGTTGCTTGATAGAGATGTGATACCGTGATAAAAGTGCAGATTTGCAGATACAGGCTCGTAAATGACACTCTAAGTAGTGTTTTTGATAGCGATTGGACCGTCCGAAGTTACATCCGAAGGGGCCGAAGTTATGTTCGGCGAAAAGTATGGCTAGTCTATATTTTTGTTCAGACAATTGCGTAATTTGATAATATACGAACTCGCTTGACTTTCAAAGCTCATAAATCGCTATAATGTTGACATCGACTAAAACTATCGCTATGAATGAGTACATAGCGTTACACTGAATCGAACGTGGTATTTTTGTCTTCGTAGCATTGAATGAACCAAAGATATGAAACGTCAAAGCCGTATATTTGCACTAGTGCAAATGCAATACGTGAGTTTGACAAATAAATACATTAAGATGGGCGGAACCATGCGTTCGTTGGGTGGAACTCAGAATGTGTAGTTTTTGGTGCGTGTCTCGGCTTTAATTTGTTATCGATCTGTTGTAGGACTTCTCGTATGTTTTCGGAACTTCAGGAAAACTGGCGATGGCTCTTTTCACGCGGTGCCAATCAGAGAAGTATTCAAGTCGCAGGGGAGTCGTTGGCACGCTTTTGGTCGTTCCTTGCGTGGCGAGTGATTTCACTTTCTTAACTTCCGGATCGTCTTCCGAGAGGGGCGGATTTTCGGTGGTGGATATGTTGATCTCGGAATTCCATAGAAACGCTGGTCCGAACAGCTACCGAGGGTTGGATAACAGCTCTTGGGCACTTAAACCTCGCGATGTCTTGTCTGCTGGGTTCTCCTTACTCTCTATTTATCGCAACTAGCTGGTGCGGGTTAGTGCATTCTCGAATTTGTTGTACCCTGTTCGCCTTTTGGCATCGTTATTTATATAGCCAAACACTACTTTGCTGTCCGTCCAGAATATATCTATTCTCCCAGTTGTAAGTAAAATATTTGAAAAAGAAATTTTTCAGCAATTATATAGTTATTTATCTGCAAACTCACTAATTTCAAAGTTTCAATCTGGATTTCGACCTAAACATTCATCTCTAACCTTACTTCTCCAGATGTACGATGAATGGCTAAAAAATATGGATGAGGGTAAAATAACTGGTCTTGTTTCTCTGGACATCAAGAAAGCATTTGATTCAATTAACCATCACATTTTAATGTTAAAAATGAAAGACCAGTTTGGTATTCGTGAAAATGAATTGAATTGGTTTACCTCTTCCTTGACTGATCGTCAGCAAGTTTGCTGTGTAAATGACCATATATCCTCTTGGAAATCCATAGAAAGTGGTGTGCCGCAGGGGTCCATTCTCGGTCCTTTGATGTTTTTATCATATATTAATGATTTGCCGCAATATTTAAAATTTACAACTCCGGGTTTATATGCTGATGATACACAGATATTTGCCTCGTCTGATAATTATGATGAACTGGTGGAACTATTAAACTCTGATTTGAAAAATATTAGTAGATGGCTCTCGGATAACAAACTGCAACATCATACTACTAAAACTAAGCTAATGTTAATAGGCTCCCGGTAGAATATCAAAACTAAAATTGGAGATAAATTAGTGACATTTAAGAATAAACCATTAAAACGGTACAGATATTTTAAATGTTTAGGAGTTGAGTTGGATGAACACCTTAGTTGGGAAGTTCACATTAATGCAATCTATAAAAAGGTTGCTGCAGGGATAGGAGTTTTAAAACGAACAAAACCATTCGTCCCCAATGAAACCCTCCACATCATCTATAAGGCGTTAATTCTGCCATACTTTGATTATTGCTCCCCTTTGTGGGATAATTGCGGAATTGTACTACAGAGATTCCAAAATAGAGCTGCAAGGGTGTTGACGGGAGTAAGTTATGATACCAACACCTCTGATCTCCTTGAACGGCTTAACTGGAAAAATCTTGAAAACAGATTTAGATTTAATAAAGTGGTTCTGGTATACAACATTCTTAATAATGGTACTGCCCCCTGTCTTCGATAATTCTTTTCTGCACGAAGCAATAATGATAATGACTATCATCTCAGAAATTATGATACATATCTCTCACTTCCAAAACCTAAGAAAGAATTTCTTAAAAGAAGCTTTAGGTATAGTGGAGCTGTACTGTGGAATAGTCTTTCTGCTGAGGCTAAGTCTGCTCATTCGATTTATTGTTTCAAAAGACTTATTTGAATCTTGTTTTTAATTGTTATTCCATTTGTAACCAGGGGCGGATCTAGGATTTTTCGTACGTTAGTCAAAAATTTCGTTGCTCAACATCAAAGGGGGGGGGGGTTGTTTTAACGGGAGGAGGGGGCTCGCAAAGCGAATTAATTTGTATTCAGTTTTACGAAAAAATGTTACGTGAAAAATGACTGTTTCGCCCAATTCAGGGCTCGTCAGCATGCCTAGGAAACACATAACTCCATATTTTGTCCTTAATTTACATGAATGGTCAAAAGATTCTCAAATATAGCGATGTAGTTTTATAAAGTAAAACATTTGATTGATTGTTAATGCTCAGGAAGAGAATTTCCACGTTTAATTCACTGCTTCTCGAGTTTTATTCATAGCAGAAACATGTGCCATGAATAAGTATTCACAATGGCAACATGATCCAATTTACTTTTATTGTATACATGTTGTAGAGATCGTATTACACAAAGCCATGCCACATTGTCATGTATTTGTAGTCTTAATATACTAGACAACTAGTCATAAATAATACAGTATTATTAAGTATCTGATCAAGATATAAAGTCCACATTCTACAAGAGGCATAAACAAAGTATAAACAAACTGAAACTGCTTGTATTAAGCCGCAGTATTATGTAAATTGACCGAAATATTATGTAAATTTCATCCCTTACTACGTACAGACGCGCAACCACTACAGCCTACAAGTACAACAGCTATGATGCTATATCAAGTTAAAATAGAATATGTTTACCTTAAGGCCGTACAGAACTTTTTCGCTTTCTCTCGAACGTACTTCGGGATGTAAGATTCCGCACCAAAATTTCGCGGTGCGACGAAGAAGCTTGTGTTTCTCACAGCGCTCAATAAGTCTTTAGAACGCTTCGGTTACATATCTTTAACATATTGTTAAGATATTGTCGATCATCTTTCTCTAAAGCAGCCTTTGCGGTTTCGTAAATACCAACAGACATGGATAGTATTAGTTTAGAACTTCTGATAAATTTTCCGATTGCCATAAAACGCACATGCTATAAAATCGGCGGGTACGCGTATAATAATAAGAGACGAAATTTACATAATATTTCAGTCAATTTTACATAAATACTGCTGCTTGATCAGAAAGATCCTGCAACGTCATATACCTTTCCGTGCATACTATTAGCCTGAACAGTATGATCGATCAAAAAAATCCAGCCAACGGGAATTGAGGATTTTTTTTGAATTAGCCAATCGGATAGCCTGTATTCGAGCCCCTGATCGCTTTAGCGATCAGAACTCCCCACAGATCGCGCAAAAATCGAGATAGCCAATCAGATGGCTGGAATCTGACTCGGAGCGTGCAAAACTCATGCGTAAGACCGCTTTTCTGCGCGTTCATGTTCGAAGGCCTTGCTACTGGATGATATCTTAGAACTGGACTGTTAAACTTTCAATACAATACACTGCGTGAAGTTTGATAACTGGACTGCTATTTTAATTTAACAATTTTCTGCCCAATTTTTACCTTAGTCGCGTGATCGCTCTGATCACCCCTAGATCCGCCCCTGTTTGTAACTACACATTATGTTCTGGATAATATTCTTTTTGGGTCTGTGGGTTAATCAGTTTTTTCTTCATTTTTATATACTTGTAAATAGCTAAATAGACGCCCCTCATGGAAACCAGCCGTATAGCTGATGAGGATAGCGTCTCTAAAGAAATTAAATACAAAATTAAATTAAATACAATATCGACGATCCCTTCGTAATTGAGCTCTTGGTGAAATAGGTTACTTACTTTCACGGAAACTATATGTAGAATTTGCCTATATGTAGAATGCCATTATTGTGGAAGGCCAAACATAATCAGCACTTCAGATAAACACCGCACAGGAAAGCATGGTCCATTAACATATAATATAAATTCTCGGGTAGCACTTGGTGCACTGCATGTTGGAATAGGTCAAACACATGTTAACAATTTCCTCACATCCATAAATATTCCACCTTTGAACAATGTCACATTCAAAAAGAGAGAACGGGAAGTTGGGCGTGCTATTGAATCACTTGCTTCAACCAGCTGTAAAGAAAATCTACAAAAATATAAAGAAAATGCAATTTCAAATAACATACAGGCAGATAGCAATGGGCTGATTGGGTTCCCAGTGTCATATGACATGGGTTGGCAAAAACGGGGAAAGGGGCACATTTCTCTGACAGGACAAGGCGCAGCCATGGGACTGACAACAGGGAACGTCCTAGCATATTCAACAAGGTGTAAACAATGTAGAATTTGTGATCATGCAAAAAAGGAGGGAAAATCAGTAAGAACACATGACTGTAGAAAAAACCACACTGGGTCATCTAAGTCAATGGAATCAAGTGTTGCCTGTGAGCTTTGGAATGATGCACCAAAAGACGATGTGAAGTTCTCAACCTATGTTGGTGATGATGACACAACAACACTATCGCATCTCACTGAAAATGTTCCCTATGGGGTGGAAAAATGGTCAGACATAATACATGCAAAAAGATCACTTGCAACTAGGCTGTATAATCTTTCATCTAGCAGCAAATTCCAAGACTCCTCTGTTTTAAGTTAAAAAGTAATTAACTATTTGACAAAGTGTTTTTCATACTGTATTGCACAAAACTCCAATGCAGCTAATTTGAAATTGGCACTAAAATGCATTGTGCCTCATGCTTTTGGCGAGCATCAACTTTGCAATGACTCTTGGTGTGGTTACAAGAAAGACCCGTCAACATACAAACACCACAGTCTTCCAAATGGTAAAGATTTACATGGTGCAAATCTAAAACAAGCATTATCCAGGTTGTTTGAGGAATATGCCACTGATATTGTAGTGAAAAAGCTGGTACCATTTGCAAATTCTCAAAGAAATGAGTCATTTAACAATATTGTCAGCAGCAAAAATCCTAAGACACATTTTTATGGAGGCAGTGAGAGCAATGATTATAGAGTTGCATTTGCAGTTGCACAAAAAACATTGGTTATTTGTATTTGTCAAGGACATTGCAAGCTCTTGGTATAGATCCTGGAGAAAATTGCATTGCACATGGCATAGTGATGGATAAAAAACATGCTAGTGATATGGTTAGAAAATCAAAAAAAGAATTCAAGGTAAGAAGGCATCAATTGCAAACCCAAAGACTGTCTAAGAATACAAAACGAGAGGCCAAGGAAGGACAAACATATCAAACAGGCATTGGCTTAAATTTAGATACTACAGGAAAGAAAGAAAACAAAAAACAAACAAAGGGTACTCTCACTGTTCTGGGAGCCGACTCATCGAAAATAACAATGGAGGAACGTTTAGAATTTGAAAAACTGGTTCCCAGATTTATTCAAAGGCCTACCAAACTAAGTCAGCGTTTTGATTCATCTGTGGCATACAATTTTATATTTTTTGACCTGGAAACCACTGCAACTTGAAGGACTGCTGAGATTTGCCAGCTATCAGCAAAAAGTCAAAATGGGAATGCATTATCAAAGTACATTCTTCCAGCAAGAGATATCAGCCCAGGGGCATCCAGAGTAAATGATTTAACTGTTCAGTATATACATGGTAAAAGAGTTTTATGCAAAAATGCTTACCCGGTTAATTCTGTTTCACCTGGCGATGCTCTTTCATCCTTTGTCAAATTCATTCGCTGTTGTATAAACACTGTGGTTGTTCCAAACAGCAAAACAATACTCCTTGGCCATAACTCATCAACATTCGACATCCCAACACTTTTCCGTAGCTCTGATAACTCGTTCAAAGACCAGCTTACTGAAATGAATGTCTACTTAGGGGACACACTGCCACTAACACGATCATTGATCAAGAATAAACATGCATCGTTAAAGCAAGAAAATGGTGAATTTTGCAAGGCAAATTTATGTAGCCTTTACGAGTGTTTGTTCAAAAAAGAATTCGCTGCCCATGACGCTTTAGAGGATGTCACTGCCCATCGGAAGATTTTCTTGGGACCAGAAATTGATATCAACACCGAAACATTGATCAATGGGTGTGGGATTCACACAGTTCGAGAAGCACAAGCTGATCTTGTTTACATAGACGACCGCAACGACTTGCTCGAAACGCACAAGGGCAACCTTCCTCCAACACATGACGATAAGGAAAGGAAAAGTCCACGAGTAACAACGAATACAAGAGTACTTCAAAGCATCCTTGGTTTTTTAAAAACAAATGCAAGTACCACAAACTAAACACAAAGGTAGATCAATGGATTTCTATGCATTCTGCTGATTTTGTAGGATAAAATTCATAGTAGTTTTGAATATATGATGCCGATTCAGAGCCGATTTGTAAACATAACATACAAGCTCGTTCTAAAACTCAGCCTCGTTCTGATTTCGTCGTAAACGCGCGTGTTTAGTTATATACGCCCGCATTTTTTATGTACGCGCATGTCAATTCATTGATCTTGCAGAGCTCGAAAAACTTTCGGCCGAGCGAGTGAGATACCACAATAAAACGGCGTAATTCAAAATTTTGCAGGGTGACATATGATGAAATTTTGCACAACGATAACTTCTTGCAATGTTCCCTCAACATCCCCGAATACAATGACAAGACAAACCCAGAAATCGCCAATGCCATCAACGAAGCTCTGTTAGATCCCCTGCAAGTTTTAAAACCTCTCGATCCTGAATCCGCAGATGTATTTTTACCGTTGGAAGAAAATCCTGAATTCCTCGAAGTACCAGCTTATCGAGTGTATAATAATTTGATACATCTGAATAAAAAAAAGCCTCTGGTCCTGATGGTGTATCAAACTGGATGCTGAAAGACTATGCCGAGTTCCTAGCGCAGCCAATTTCGGATATAATAAACGCCTCGTACAAAGAACAAAAACTACTAAAAACTTGGAAACTGGCAGATATTACACCTCTCCCCAAAGTAAAGCAAGTTACTGACCCAAAGAAAGAGCTACGACCTATCTCTCTGACTTCTGCAGTTTCTAAAATTGCAGAAGACTTTGTAGTTTCAGACTATATTAGACCAGCTTTAGAGAAGAAAGTAGATCGTAATCAATTTGGCACCGTCTCTGGTTCTTCCACTACGTTAGCTCTAATAGGTATGGTGCATAACTGGCTCGAAGCTACAGATTTTGTTTGACTACCGTAAAGCGTTTGATCTCATAGATCATGGCATCCTAATCACCAAATTGAAAGAAATTGGTATACCAAACAGCATCAAAAATTGGATAATCGACTTCCTCTCAGATAGATCACAACGAGTGAAGCTTAGTAAGGACTGCCTATCAGACTGGGGCAAGATTCCCTCTGGTGTTCCCCAGGATACCAAACTTGGACCCTGGTTATTCCTACTAATGATTAACGACTTGTCAGTTTCTGAAATTTTCAACATGTGGAAATATGTCGATGACACTACAGTATCGGAAACCATATCAAAGGGGCAACACAGCCATGTACAACAGGCAGTGGACCAAGTTAATGAATGGTCAAAGGAAAACTTGATGCAACTTAACAGTAAAAAGACAAAGGAACCGATCATAAGTTTTAGCCGACCCCATCCTCCACAATTCTCATCTAGTATTATAGACGAAAATCCCATTTTGAGGATAACCAAAGCAAAGTTACTCAAAGTTACTCAAAGTTACTCAGAACGAGGCTGAGTTTTAGAACGAGCTTGATTAACGTTAATCTGACATGGAACGATCATATTGAGGAACTAGTGAAGAAGAGTTCTCGGAAGCTGTATTTTTTAAAACAACTTAAGCGTACGCAAATACCATCAAACGATTTGGTTACATATTATTGTGCATGCGTTAGATCTTCTTTGGACTATGCATGCCCAGTATACCATAGCTCTCTACCAAGTTACCTACATGACGACCTGGAAAAGGTCCAAAAGAGAGCTTTAGCGTGCATTTTCCCAGGAATACCTTATTCTGATGCTTTGGTATTGGCGGAAATACCCCCTATTAATGACCAGCACAGCACAATTACAAAGAAACTGTTCCAGTCCATATCCGAGAACCCAAAAAATAAAATCTATCACCTGATTCCAAGTGCTAACAACAATCCTAAATACAATCTTAGGAAAAATAGGAAATTTTCACTACCACTAGTAAGAACAAAAAGATTCTCGGACTCATTTATTATGCGTGGTAGTACCAACACCATTGATTAAGAAATGAATAGATGGCTCACTCCTTTGAAGTTTTTGATGCCTCCGACAGGTGCGACTTCCGGTTGGCCGCCATTACTCTGGCCAGTAAAGTGCAGCCAGAACGAATGGAAAATGTATTGTGAAATTGGCATCGCGCGCATAAAAACTTCATTTTTACCGGTTTTGGACACCTGAATTCAACGTTTACGGTCGAAAATCAAAATTAGAAAGGTAAGAAAGTATTATTATCTGTTTCTATTAGCCCTGAAAGTGTTTTTTAATTAAGTCAAATTTTGTGCTCTTAAATATGGCTAGTTCGGCCAGCCAGACATAAAAGAACATAGGTTTTCGTCCCATTCGCTGTATGTTTTCATTCGAAAGTAACATTAATATTACTTGAAACGAAATTTATAAACTATGAAAGTTACAATCCATGTACAATTCATGAACTCATTCTTGCAATAGATATACAGTATCTCTGATGTATATTACAGTGTCAGTATATATGTCTTCATCACAATTTCTCTGCCAAGTTTAATAAACATGTCTTTTTAAGTTCACTGTTTTCTTGAATTAGATATTTATCTACTAAATTTTGCCCAACTTATTCAGATGCAGCCCAGATAGTATCAAACTATGTAGAATATACAGGGTGTATCAAAATAAACGCAATTCATCTTTTGTGCTTAATAACTTTCGAAATACTATTTCTAGTTTAACGCTTTTAAGCTTAGTTCAAAGCCTGTTCTTTTCTCTTTCAAACAAACTATTATCCTTGTCTCCAATGCTAGTAATAATTGCACAGGAAAAGATTTAGTAAAACCTACCATTTTTAGTTGCTGTTTAATTATGCAAGTTTACTATGTTATTGTTTAGTCAGTTTAAATGTTAGAATTTTCTTCTTTAAACTTTAATGTTGTCGTCACTACATCTGGAACACCACGTAAGAACAAATTAAAAGTATTTTAAAAGAGACCAGGTTGTTTAAAAATCCTAAACGAATGCTAAAAATCGTCAAAACATTCTGGTGTCTGAGCCAGAGTGTCATCCAATTGCGATGTAATGTAAACAGAAATTATAGCAAGTTGATGTCAGTCAGCTTAGATGGTCCAAGCCAAAATTATATCGCATTTGAAGTTTCAAACTGAGTTAAAAATAGTGGAAGAAAAGCCGTAATTATACTTATTGTTACAATCCATTTAATAAAATGCAACATTTTTTGTTTTAATGAAAAAATCATTTATTTTCATGAGAACGATTTGTTATTCCATCTCAATTTTTTTAATCTCCAATCGCAATAACGTAAAGTATTATTACCCGCGAACCAATGAGTCAAATTTAAGAAACAACCCACTGTTAGAAAACTGAATGGCTACGCTTTAAAATGAATGTAAACTTTAACGTTTTCGTCTATTATTTGTTTAGCAATTTACATTTCAGTCGAGGATTGCGCTTTTTTTGATACACCCTGTAGTTTATAAACTGAGCACTATATGCAGGCTAGTTTATAGATGGCTAACTTTAATGTACTTTCTGCTCTTTCTTCCTTTTTTAGTTGGAGTTGCCAGTCTTCTGTTTTCGAACTTGATGGTGTAATATATACGCATCCGGAGAAAAAGCTTTAACATGTAGTCCATAGGAAACTCTGGGCAAGAATGGAATGTGATGGACACACTTTGGAGGCTCTTTAGCAAATTAGCACCAACTAATTTGGACCTGTTATATGCTGAAAATTGCTGCACAAAAACATCTTCTAGATGCAGAACAAAATCAAGGAAGTGCTGGGATGATAGGATTAATCCTTGGGACTGTGTGCTCTCATTGTAGTTCTTATAATAACAGTACAACAAATTTGCAGAATCTGCAGTTTCGGACATGGTGGCGTCTTTGCACAAAGAGCATTTGTGAACAGTGAAGCACTTCTTGAGAAGGTATCCGGCAAAGTATGCAACAGCATTTTGTTGGACGATGCTGGAACTGACTTCTTTCTCTCTGTAGTCTGTTTCTCCTAGCACCAATGTTTGTGGTTGACGACCTGGTCTCACCAATGCTGCTTTGTTAGAGCGGTTTGAAAGTTGGGAAAGGAGTGAATACAAATCTTCTGCACTGTTACCATTGCTGGAGGTGAAAAGGGAACTGAAAAGAAGTTTCCTAAAGGCCCTAGTGAACTGTATTGGTGTAGGGTTGTCACTATTCCCTCCCAGTTGTCTTATTGTACCAAAAAAGTTTTCAATTGGACCTGTGTTCAACCTACGTGTGAATAAGAACTTGAAGTTGTGATGCTTGTTAAGATGATTCCAGATTAAAATGATTGCATTAATTGTGACAAGCCATCCTTTAATGCATTTAATTCTACCTGTTACATCAGTGTTGCCTTGAAATACTTGTAAACTTTTAATGAAATCTATCATGTCCTTAAAGAAGTTGGCATGATTCGATGTTTCTGTGATAGGTTTCTTGATTTGCTTAGGTGAGTAGAGTTTGGAACTATTGACACTGTCAAAAAAGCTATCAAATTTAAGAATGAGATGTGCTGTACCCATTGCAGTTTGTGGCAAGACACCTAAACTGATGTATGTGCATAATGAGGCTGCAACTGTGTTGCTTAAAACTTGTGTGGCATACTTAACCTTCATCTTGTTGAAGTTGTTTGGGTGAATATGTTTATTTGTCAGTTTGTGTGCAGATCTGATTTGTAGTGACTTATCTTTGTTGTAAAATGCCTCAATATCTTTCCAGCTTGCAACAAGTTTCCCAAACTTAAATGTATATTTCATGAGGTTATTTCTGATGCACTTAATTAAATGTGGTGGATCAAACATCAAGAAGTAGATTTTGTTTTTGTGGGTGAACCAAGGCTTCTCAGGAGTGATACCAAGATGCAGAGCCAAGCTGTAGAAATTCGAACCCATATCAGACATCACAACAAGTACTCGCAAACCAATGGCATCAAGCTTCTCAATTGCTTCGCGAATAAGCCCATCAAGGAAATCAGTTGGACAGGAACCATTTACCAAAGCATAACCGATTGGCTGTTTCCAGTTTCCAGATATGCTTCGAATTAAAAGAA